AAAAAAAACCCTGACCGGACAGAATCGGAAAGTAACATAAGGGCAAAAGCAAGGTGAAAACATAAGCGAAAGCACACGTATACATATTGAGACAGACTAAGCGACATCCTGATTAGAGGGGAGAGCATTATGACGAGGTAGAAGGAAGCTATCGGTAGGGCAGCACTTTAAAGCGAATAATACATAACTAAAGCATCCAAATGGACATTATTGGACAGAACACCATACACAATATGCAAGGGAAGTAGTTCATGTCTCCATGCGACCACACTGCATGACTTAAGGGCTGCATTGGAACTGACAGTAAAGACTAGCAATAGAAGGGTTAGTCTGAGCAACGCAACTAGCCGTGGCTATTCCGGGGCGGGCATGGTGCGTGCCTCTTTGATCTAAGCACGAACCTCGGGCGTAAAACTCAGACCCAAGTACGTACCTATGAAAAGCACGCACTTGTTAACCCTCGCTTGCGTTGAAACATTAGACGACTTATTTATCTGACGTTCGTGGAGTCACTGCGTTGTTGATGATTCCAGTTGTAGTCTAAGAATTATATGTTATTTCATGACAGATTATTCTTCTTTCTTTAGATCCTCTTTTCTACTAGTGAAGGTCGAATTTTGGATAGTCTAACTCTGAAAGGCTTCGACCAGCCTTGTGCCATATGCATCCTTCGACCGGGAGGTCAGTCATTGGATAAATCTTGTTTGCAGTTCAAATAACAATGATTCAAGAGCCATTCACGATGAAACGATCTGCATTCGGCTCTTGTTTTTTTCACAACTTTCATTTGATTTTTAATAATTAAGCGATTCCAATTTCCGTCATTCATGAAGTAATTTTGCAGCTGCTATGGGAATCCTAGATCGCTCCAATTTGTATCTGTATGAACCGAAGTTGAAACGTTTAAGTATTGTGGCTGACGGACTTGGTGCTCGTCACCGCGGTAGTTTATTTTTGACATTATGAGGTTTTCAATTCTTAAAGGATTTTTCGTCTATGTTTGACCATGTTTGAATTATATATTTCAGCACTATCATACACTTGTAATGGTGACTTCATAACAGTTAAAAAGCATGGCGCACAACTGTCTGCCACAATCTTTAATGCAACTGAATACAACAAGGTTCTTTTTTTCTGAATGCAATTTTTGTTATTACAACTCTTCATTCTCTAATTTTTGACAGAATTTGTTTTTATTCTAGATAATTGGAAGTTTTGTTTTCCCACAATCTGATGGAGTGTCGATTCTTCATGAACAACGTCAGCCGTGCTTTGCTGATACTACGGGAAATCAGATATTTTTCACAGATTTACGTACGTTTTCGATGAATTTTTCGGAACTCATCACTTTTTTGATTGGTCAGCGTTCATATTTGAAGGGACTAATACGCTTACGTGTATGGAAATGGAAGGCAATCGGCTTGTCAAGGTCTACAGCCGGTGTATGCAGCAATCACCTACGCATCGAGGAGAGGAAGCTCGAAAACGGTTCGTTTCATTAATTTTGCTTTATGTAATTCGCTAAATGCTTCTGTTGTAATCATGCACATGTGAATGACTCGAGTGGTCTGAAACAGAGGCGTCGAAGGTATCTGATTTGATTAGCAACAGATAATGTTGCCAAGGTGAGACATTGATGGTAAGTAACTCTTACAACAAAGGTAAATAAAGGATAAAGGATTCCTAAAGGCCAACATTTGGCCCTAAAAGACGAGAACCGCTGGATCCACTGAGCGTTCTAGCACTTGGAAAGGCTGCGTGGGGATGGGCAGGACTTCACAATAAATTGAGGGCATACCTGAAAACGAATCGCTCGCTTGAATTGATACGCTTCTCTCTTCTGAGAATGAAGATATTCCTCAGAAAAACGTTTTGGTAGGTGGGACATTATAATGTACGTATGAGGTTTGGAATGTAATGACAAGTGGTAGAGATGATAAGTTACGTACAGTATTAGGCTACTTTTTGTACTTTCTCAATTTTCTTTTTGATAATACGCATTACATTTGTTTAGTGGTGTATTCTTTAGATTTGTCTTCATGAGTGGAATTCGGTGTGACGACTCCGGACACTTACTCGTTGCTGATGCGAAAAACCGAACTCTAAAGGTGTAGTGTTGTGAATTCGGGCAGCAGACTCATTTCTTTTTTTCCTTCGAAAAGAAGCAGTCAAAATTTTCAGCTACTCACGACATCGGGCCAAATATTAAAATGCGCCAAGTTTGCTAACGGGGCCAGTTTTCCTTATTGTTCGGCATTCGGTGTCTCGCCATCTGGCATGCTTATGGCGTGCGATCGAGCCAATAGCCGAATGGTTTTGTTTCGTATCGGAGAAGAGTGTATGTTACGTACAAGATGATTGTTTCATGGCAGATTTCTGGAATTCTACAAGTTTTATGGTTGTTATTTTAGCAGTATCTGAAGACGCTGTAATCACTGACGATGTATTTGATCGGATGATGGGCGAAACAGGTGTGGAGAATGAAGTACGACGATTGAAGGAGAGAGCTCGAAGGGCAGCATGAGAGTCTGACTTGTTTTCTTATAATAACTGGATAATTTTGGAGTGCTGGATAATTTCATTCCTACATTTCGTACAGCTTTATAAGGACGGGTATTTATAGTCTAAATCTCTTTTTGAGAACGCAGCCATTTTTTGTCGTTAATTCATTTTTTCTCTGTCTCTCACTATGGAAAAAGAATGAACTAGGCCTAGAGGATCGGATATAAGGTTGATAGAATCAATTGGAAATTGAAGTCCGTTTAGGTGAGCAGCGTGCTGCGTGGCGCTAAGTTTATAGACATGCAGTACAAATTAGAATTTTATCGCAAGCATGCATGTATTCATTGTCTAGGTGCGAGAATAATGGCATTGGAATCTTTTAGAGCGTAGCGTTAAGCGCCATTAACGCAAGAATGTTGAGCGTCAAGCGGTGACGCTCGACGCTTTTGCGCCATTAACGCTTGAAAGATCATCAATTTTTTTTATGGTTCTCAATTTAATAGAGTCCATAGTTGGTGAAGTCTATGATATTTTTTGCTTTGTACGTTGAAATTCATACTAGAGAATAGTCAAGGGGTTGGAGGCAGGGTTAGGTCCAATCACCAGTGTCACAGCAATTTCCTACGTATCGACTGGCTGCTTTCAGACTTCGACGTCCATCCGTCCGTTCAACGCGTGCTGCGACCGCGGTTCTAGAAAGGTGTTGACAGCGCTGGCACGTGATCTAGTGTTGTCAACACCTTTCTAGAACCGCCGTCGTGACACCCACGTAACCGCTGTCCCAGCACGCGTTCAACGGACGGACGGACGTCGAAGTCTGAAAGCAGCCACTCACCGCATGCTTTGCCGCGCTGCTGCCGCACGCGAGGGGTTTTGCAGAACAATAAGAGGGACAATTAAATGCTGCTCCTTTTTTGAAGATTAAATTGCATTCACCTACCTACAAATGTCTGTGTATCTCATATCACTAAGTGAAGGTGCCACAAGTGCTTTAAAAGCCAACCGGTGATCCAGTAAATCTTTCTGAATTTTCTTTCTCTTTTGATCATAAATTGCTTTGAAGGTATTGCATATTAGACAACTTTATGTGATTGCTTAGGTTCCGTTTGAATCTCGCTCAAATGCCATCATTTATTGTTTTGAGGAAATCCATCACCATAAGTTACTGTATTTTTATTATCGCATAACTCTTTCCATATACCTGTAAATTGAGCCTGATTAATGGAGTTTATATGTTCATAGTTTTAAACCTGCTGTGTCTTATTACTAATATGTGAATACTAATAAATCACGTATTCTAAGTTTTTTTGATAAGGATTACGGGAATGGAAACGGCGTAATCAATCCTTGCTTGTTATGTCTTTCTAATATTTTAGCGTGTTTGCTCACAAAAAATTGAAGGAGTAAATGATCTACAGCAGTAGCGCAAGATCACCAGATGGTCCTAACACGATAGTGTCTCAGCTGTGAATGAGTAAGTATGTTGGCTATGTTAGCAAATGAATGCAATGTCACTGCTAACCGAGTCCATTCATTCTTCAAGCGTGTTTTCCGTCTTGTATTCCAAGAGGATTCTGTTTAAATCGCCCTTTTCCCTCAGATTTATGTGTTTGATTTAGGCCAGCAATGATATCGTGATGGTGAGTCAGATTCCACTAGAGATCACCAATAACGACAACATGTGATGAGGTTCGCCATGAAGCATCTAGCCGTTTTTCAAAAGTGGAATGCTTACTGCAGAGAGCTGGAGCTGTTTCGGTCCCCTATAATAAGTTGATTGGCGGGGGCTACTAGATGTGATTG